GACATGAGCAGAGATAACTGAGGTCATCTACCATTCCAGGTAAAGTGTCATCTCACCCGCAAAGAAAGCACACTCCAAAATCATACACTGCCCCACCAAGGATAGGAATGACTCGTTTCTCCTGGCAAAAATGCTTTCTTGGCTGCAGGGGGATGCATGACAGATATCTGCTCCCTCACCTGCCACACAATAGACTATCTAGTTGTTATTTTAATATTATTCCCAACATTTTGGACGACAGGTTCACTAATATAAGAAAAAAAAAAAAAAAAAACACTTATCTGCATTCATTATGTATTATGTCATAGCAACACAGAGCACCACAAGTTCATTAGAAATTATTTGCCTATGATACAATTTAATTTTCTTATTACAGTAATAAAGGAAAGAATAGCTGGAGTCTGACACATGCAACCATAAAAAAAAGAAACAGTGAAAGAAATGTGAGCTTTCTGCTCTTGGCTTTATTCAGCATACTCATTGTAAGTAAGGTTTCCTATTTCCTCTGGCACTACGTTAAGAAAGATGTTGACAGACTGGTTCTTGGGAAACACAAAATTTAACTTGGTACCATCAACAAAATAATATATAACAAACACCAGCTGCAACTGTCACAAATCACTATGCTAAATATGCTGTACAGAGTTATCTTTTGCAATACTGAACATACAAGCTCAAACAAAACCCAGTAGCCAAAAAAATCATAGGAGCAACAAACTGTACATGCACAAGCAGGTACTCAGTCCTGAGCTGCACTGTAAAGAAATGCAAGATTGTAGCTGTGTAATGTAACAACAGGGATAGTGCCTTATAACCTAAGAAATAGCACTACTCCATCTACTCCATTGGACCTGATCAGGCTGCCACCTAACCTACTGTGAGCAAAGTCCTCTTCTCCTGAGCTGAGATGTTTCCTTTGTTCAGAGGTTTGAGATCTCTCCAACTAACTACACATAAGAAGTTCCACCTTTCACACTTTTTGACAAGGCTGCGTACCTGAAGTTTGTTACTCTGTTTCCTCAGCATTTCCTTTTCCAGTTCTCAATTTCTCCTCTCACACAGTTCCAGCACTCCAAGTTCTTCATTCCTGAATTCAACAGATCAAAGAGCTGCCCTTTGGCTGTATGGCTGGTTATCAGTTCAACTTCTCATGAGACATTCTTCCAGGTCCCTAATGCTTCAGTCTTCTGTTAAGAAATTACTTCTACTGCTATTTACAGGGCTTATTTATGCTGATGAAAAAGCACTGTTAACATACCCCTTTCAATATATTTTTTTTTTCCTTCACAGATTTTAGATTTGCTTCAGCAGCCCAGGAAGCTATTATGTTGCTAAAGATTTACTAAATGGCAAAATACTCAAGAATATTTGTATACTAGTTATGGAGAGTAGGAAGAGGGACCATTTAGATTTCTTTGTGCATCTTGAATGGCATTCAATGTTCAAGCAGAAGATTAGATTCAGACTTTTAACATGTCAGCCTGCTCTAATCAACCCTCCTTTGAGCAGGAAGTTGGACTGATGACCTGCAGAAGTGTCTGCCCACCCCAGATGTTCTGCAGCACAACACTGCACAAAACTCTTACCATGATGCAACAACCTGTACCTGGCCCCAAGTGCACAGGCAGTGGGTCTACTATATTTTCATAGTCTCTGTAAAAGAAACTGTAAAACTCTTTTTCATCAGCTACATCAGAGTATATTCCTTCTTCTTAGTTTCTCTTCTTGTCAAGAAAAACAGGGAATTGCAAGCAATGTCTTATATTGCCCACAACCTTACAGTGGTTTATACCTGATCTTGGTGAATATTCATTATATTTTCAAAGTCACTTAGTATACTTAAGCATAAAAAATTTCATCATAGTTTATGACATACTTTGAATATAACCAGATAAATCTTTTCACAGTGACTTAAGAAAAGACTTGAAAAGCTTGCCAGCTCTAGCCTCTCAGGCTATCAATATCAGAATTTTCAAGAAGGACAAACTGCAGAGGCAGGTTAAAATATATTTTGCAGTTACTACATGTGAACCACTATGAGAATCAACAAGGATGTGCATAACTGTGGTCATATGTATGCTAAAAAAGTACTTTCTCATAATGCCCCAGAAAATGAGAGATATCAAACAATCTAGTAAAAATTAAATCCATTAAACTCAGCAGGACAAATTTTCATAATAGTTTCAGCACTACAGTTACCCCAAAGTCAAATGGAAATGCATTGGTTCAGCTTATCAGAACTTGGCACAGCAAGCAGTTTTGTACTGTTCATTCTGAGCCCATGAAGTGTTTCATCTCTAACTTCCATATGGCTACGTGTTAAGTAAGATTACACAGTTCTTTTACATCTTAGCATTTTATTCTAAGTACTTAATTCATCACACATCATGAGTCAGGCTGTATTCTCTGTGCCTTTTTTTGGGTGGTGTTATTCATTCTGTCTTTATGTTATCTCTGAAAGGTGTCCAATAGTTGGGACTGGATCAAATGCTGCTCTTCCATGAGAGGCTTTCCACTGGTTTCAACGATTTTGGATCAATCTCTTACTGTCACATTTATGAAAGAGAAGATTTTATAAATTTACAGTAAATAATTAATTAGCAATTCCATTTGGCTTTTATCAAGGAACTCAGGTTGTTTTCAGATATGTTAGGATTCATAGACAAATGTAATATTTAAATCAATAAAAGACAGACCTATATATAAAGAACTAAACTGAAGTCACTCCAGCACACCTTACTCTGGTAAACAGCAGTAATGCTTGTGCAGAAACCCAGCGTTTTGTACATGCTCCTACACTAAGGCAAAGCACAGGTAAGCACCTAGAGACAGGAATGGCACACAACATAACCTAAACATCCACATCAGCTCACACCAAGCTGCCCAGGAATCTGAGAGCTGACTTCCCCACCCAGTCACCGGCACACCCAAAACAAGGACTGTGAAATATGACACATGTGATTCAAAGATTATTTACAAGGTAACTTGTGAATAATCTTGCAGTCATGCAACGTTTTCCCAGCATAGAGGAAAAGTAATTACGTGCTGTCCTTCAAGCAAGAGACCAATTAATCACAACGGGAAAATAGAAATGTGTCTTCCTCACAAAATCTGACACAGTAGGAATTGCCTTTAGAGACACAACCACCTCTTCGCTTGTGGGTACTGTGATGATTCTCCTGTCAGTTCTAGGAAGAGGGATAACCAGACTGCCTATCCAGTGATTCATATTCCCAGCATATGGTAACATTCTTCCACTCGGTACTGATCTCACCATGTAACCTTGGCTGTCTTCAACGAGACGGCATGGCAAGTAATTCATTGACTCAATTTAGCCTTGCGTAAAGCAGAGGGATTATATGAAAGCAAATTAAAAATGAGCATAAAAGGCAGGAAAATATGTTTGCTACTTTGTTTGTTCACTTTACTGGCTTAGCCACAGGGATATGTTGATTCTTCTTTTGTACTGGGATTTATTTTTTTCTATAAAGCACTTTACAAGGTTTACATGAAAAAGCTCAACAGAAGGAGATTTCAAAAATATGTTAATTGAATGTTGATAGGAATCTCTGTGGACGCCCACAAAAGCAAGAAACTCAGGAAATGTCTGTTAGGATCTCCAAATTTGTGCAGGAAGACTAATTTTAATCACATATTTCTGGATTTATTTTTATGAATCAATGCCACATCAGTCTTCTATGGCCTTTTATTCCAAACTGTTATGTATGGAGCACTGCCAGGAAGGAACTCACAGCACTGCCAAGCTGTTGCCTGAGCCTCAGTTAATGCATGTAAAAATACTGCTTACTGTTTTCTTAGCTTTTAGAAAAGGACTGTGAAAACAAGCTATAGTTCCCTCTGCATGGCTTTTTATTTATGTATTTATTTTACTTTATCCTACCAGTTGTTTAAAAGCCCAGTTTCATCAGGCTTCCCTTCTTGTAGAAGGGACTTTATTAGAAGAGTTTCAGAACAAAAACTACCTTATCCTCCTTTATTACAAAATTGTAGTGCATTCCAGGGGACCGCTGAACTATCTTCAAAGAAGCCAGAGGGGATAATGCTAGCAATGGCAGCACAGAACAAAACGAAAGCAGATAAACATACTACAGTTCTTCGCCTAGATACACCCAAAATTTGAGTAGGAGGCTAAAGTCTTCTTTATGCACTAGCTGGAACTATTCTTGAACCAATCTCCTGATCTTCTCAGCTACCACAGACACCGCAAATAGAAATGCTGCGCAACGCACAATGATGCAGAATGTAATTTCCACTGTGATCAATACTGCGTTGCAAATTAAAGATATTTTTCCATAAGATGTATGCAGCAAGCATTAAATATTTATACTTTGCAAGCATATATTTTTTTGCATGAAAAAGGCATGCAAGTATTGATATACTCTTACTTACCAAACCAGCAATAGCTCTGTAATAAAAAGGGTGTATCTTTTCCTTTGTACAGCAGTTGTAATTAACTGTGTCACCCTACTGCCATAGCACTAACGCAGGCTCAGTCTTACCAGATGTTTGGTAATCTCAGCTTCTAACATTATCACTAGCAGTTGAAGTGATTCACATTCCAAGAGAAGGGGTTCATTTTCCAGTCTTGTTAAAGGAAGTACAAATATAACACAAGCATCGATTTTAAAAACATACCCTAGTAAGCATAATGGAGTAAGATGCAAAATAAAAGATTTACATATCCATTACAGATTGCAAATACAGCCCATACAGATGCTGCAATGGTGAAAAAAAAATTGCAAAGCCCTAATAATTACTATCTTGGCTACTAAAAAGAAACTGAAAACCACAACCCCCGGGAGGTTTCCCCAAGGAAAGGCTCCATGTTTTGGACCAAACACTAAGCTGACAGCAGTAAAGAAAACTTGCTGATGTGACAAAATGTATTTTGCCAAAGCTCTGGAATCTGTAGCATCCCAGCTTGACAGCAAAAGCTCTGCAAGCCTCTACCAAAGCCAAAAGTAATTAAGTGTACTTACATGTACTCCCTGTGTGCAGAATGTACAGCAGCTGCGTTGCTGTAACGCCACAAAACTATTGCCGATGACAAAACATCCAGGGTAGCATCAAACTGAAAGAGATACAACGTCAATTGTTTTGTGGGCCATTAAATGTGCCCTGTACTAACAATAATGCATTTACTATCCTGCTGCAGAGCCACAAAGCAGCTTCACATAAATCATTTTAATGAAAGCAGGATTCACATTTATTGAATTGATCTTCACATTTTTGCCATGCATTATTGCACAATGATACACTTTAGAGCTCAGGAAGTCAATCAAAGGATTTAAAACTTTTTATTTGTAATCCATCACTTGCAGAGAAGTTAAGAGAAAAAAAAAACCCCACCATAATGTGCCACTGTGGTGCCAAAAGAATTAAGATACCAATATGATTCTTATGCAAGATTCTCTTAAAAAAAGTGTTTGAAAATGTCTGTCAAGCATTCCCTTCTCCTATGAAGTCAGTAATTTTCTGCAGTAGAACATTTTGTTTCAAACTAAGCAAACAAACTTTTTCAAAATCCCCAAATTTCTTATTATTCTGTATCATTAACAAAATTGTCATGTTTGTATTTCCCCATTAATGAAGACATGATGTCAGGTAACACCAAAAACCAGGCTTGTCCCACAGAAGAACATTCATCCATAAGTCAAACTTTCTAGAGTCAATCTAACCTTCAAATCTGAAAGCAAAAGGAATTATTTGAAATGAGACACTTTGCTTGTCATTAGGAATTATTTGCTCTGGCTCTGCCACTAATCAGGAAAGTCATGGCAACAGAGAGGAAAGCTGTCATCCTAAAGTCAGTAGGAGTTTTACCACAGACCTCAACAGGAGTAAGGTCACAAAATTCAGAATGGAACTTCAGAATTTGTCTCAAGCCCAACAACAGAACTGACTAACCTGAGAGATTTTGTAGATGAAAATCATACCTGGTGGATAATATTTATCAATAAGATACGAGTATTGATATTAACTCCAATATGACTTAGTAGTCAGAAACTGAAAAAGTGTAATGAAAGCATTTACTACTCTCCTTTCCAATGTACAACTTCAACAATATTTCTTCTGATCCCTCATCAACTTAGCACATCTTGTCGTGAACTTAACAACAAGAAAAAATATAGTATTTCATGTATAGCAAAAGCCAGTTAAGAAGAAGTAAGGAGTATTTAAATTATATCTCTACTTACAGCAAATCCAAATGATGATGCACTGTATCTCATTACGGAGACAGCTAAAGGAAAGAAAACATTATTTAGAGTCACTTTAAACATATCCTGTGTCCTTTCTTCTTTGCTTGTCTGAGAGCTAGAATGACCTGACCAGAATTTAAAAAGGGTCTACAAGACAGGCCTTGTGCTCCAAGAAACAGTCAGATAACTCAATAGAGTATTTCCTTTCTTCCAAAATCATAATGGAGCAACACCTAGCCTTCAGAAACAGTCTGTTTATGAAACAAAACTGCATCTGAAATGCAGCATAAGTAAAGATAAGTTGAAACCACTGTTTCAAACTCTCAGAAAACTTTACATGTCTCAGAGTGCTCCTTGCCTAGCTAGGAGCCTAGCTCACAAAAGTCCACCTGAACTGGCTGACAGAAAACTATGCAGGCCCATCCACACTTCTGAACTGCCACACTTTTGACAAAAAAGCCTAAGGGTAGTTCACACAGCCCCAAGAAATGCTTCAAATTCTATCAGATCAGTGATTTCCAATGGAAAAACCATGAGCAGGAAACATTTTTACCAACTCTGATTTTGACTCCATGCTGCCTCTAAAACATAAACCAAGGTTTAAAAATAGGCTCACATCTAGGAAAAACTATCGTTTTTATAATTTTACTCCACTGAATCTATCATCTCACAGTTCTCAATTCTAGGAGATACCGTGCAAGGAAAAAAATACCTTTCAGTAGCCCAGAGGAACACCAGGCTCTCAAGCACTGAGCAGCTCTAGACTTCTTGCTGTGCTTTGCAGACTGTTGAATGAGAACAGGACCAACCAAATCTGTGCTCCTGAGTAAGATGCACAGCATTCTAGTTCCAATGTTAAAAGGACTTGAAATACAGCCTAGAAGGATTAATTTTGTTACTCCTTCATGAACAGATATCAGCTAACTTTACTAAGAAAAATACATTTTTGTAAAAAGAAGAGTGCTTTAACTAAAAATACCCAACAGGCTCATCAATGACTTTGTCAATCTTAGGCTGACAAACGATATCTAATTTTCAGTGTTCCAGTATTCACTAGAACAGACTGGCACAACAGAGATACTACAGTTTGACTGTTCTTTTCAGTAACAGCAAGCTGCAGTTCTGTGACACTTACGTGGATAAATTAAAACCTTGGAAAAAAAATAACCCTTTTCATATTGATCTAGTATCTAAGACCTAGCTGTGGCCATGAGCATACCAGGTATCACAAATATTTGGCCTTTATCATTACAGTTGGCCAAAACACAAAGAAAATTAATCAAGTTCATTTCCAGATTCCCATTTCCTCAAATCTGAAGAGCTGAAAGCTAAATAGTATGGATTTATATTTCCCTCTTGTCATGTCCCACACTTTACCTTTTAGGTGAAAAAAAGAGGAGCTATACTTCTTGGTCAGACATGCCAGGCAGGAGCTACACTTGACAAGTTGACACTAGCTTGCAGTGATCCAGTTGTAAATTCGAACACCTCACTGCATAATGATACAGTACCTATCCAATTTTCATGGTATGCCCCCTTAGAGGCATACCGTTTCAAAAACTCCAAAATATGCACAAGTTGCATTGAAAAAAAAAGAATGGGCCCTCACAGGTACACACAGGTAAACACTTGCAACGTTCCTGTCATTACTGCTTGCATATGTAAAATGCTGGGGTTTGAACCCCGAGCCCCAAATTAAGGTTGACACATGGGTGATTCCCACAGCCCTTCATACAGAGGGGGTGAGTTTGCCTTATAGCTTCCCCCCAGGGTGCGGCCGGCCCTGCAGGGAGAGCCAGAAGGGAAATGAGCCCCAGGGGTCCCACACTGAGTTGACAAAGGTCAGGTGTCTGCTTGGGGATAAAAGCTGGGACCACTTGCAGGGAGTCAGGAGTGTCTGTCTGTGGAGTGCACTCCACAGAGCATCCTGGTTCAGGGCAGACCTCCTGACTCTCCCTGGAGCTGGGCCCCAGTCTGTTTAGACCTTTGCGAACATGGGCTGATCGGGTGAGAGTCACTATGTGGTCACCTTTCTCTTGTGTGTTCAGCTCGCTGGTCTGGCTGTTTCCCATGCCAACTGTGGGCAGCCTCAGGTCTCTCTTTGTACCACCTGTTGTGGGACGAGTTACGTCCTTTGTGGGGTCGTTGGGGGTGGCGTCAATTACGTACCAGCTGATTGATCTGTTTGTACCCCCAGCGATCATTCATGGAATGTCCTTCTTGTCTACAATACAGTCTGTGTATTGGTTCATCTTCCTGCTGGTGCTATCATTTTTGTTGGGCCTGGTCATTGGCAAAACAATATGACACAGTTCAAAGCCACGCTTTTACTCCTACTGCTAGCCAGCCTCTGTGGTGGAATTAACTCCTCAGTATTTAAAAATTGCCAAGTATTTTTCCCCAGTCTAATCCAGACTTAAAACACATCAACTCTATGGTTCCTTTAAAAATGAATATATCATTTCTCCAGGTGAAGTGCAGGCAGATAGCTACACCTTACAAATGCTTTGAGGAAGGATTTATTTTTGTGTATTCTACCACAGTGAATATTCACAGCACTCACACAAAATTTGTTTTGCCTGAGCTGTCTAAAACAGTAATGAAAAAAAAGTATTAACTAACAGTGCCACAACTCTGCTTAAACTTTTTTGCTAGCTAGTGAATATGACTGGAGGAAAGACTTGCAAGAACTGGTACCCTGCAATACTAAATTTTAGTGGTAGAAGGCCATAATAAAAGCAGTAATGATCATTTAAGCACTGGAAAGATACATTATTTATTTACACACTGGTTTTCTAAAGGCAAAAATGACCCATTTGTCCGTTTTTCGGAGTCAAATAAAAATAAATAAAAACATTTAAAGCACCTTCAGCCCTGACTTAAGCACATCAATATTTGCAGCTGAGAAGTACAGCCAGAAAGCTCATCAGTAAGTCATTCCAGCCTAAATGGGATGTTTGTCCATGAGTCTAGGCTCTGTTGCACAGAAAGCAACTGTAACATTGGCTTACAGGGTATCAAGCAATACAGGTTGCTACAGACTGACCACACCTCAAGACAAGGGCTAGCTCTTGTTCTAGGCACTGAAGCTGAACCAACTTTGTTAGCAAAGTGCTTTTTAAAAGTGTGCAAAAACTTCAGACACGTAGGTAAAGGAATAACCAGTTGTCCTTCTGCCTCCAGTATCACTGCTGTGCTTCAGGAGCAATGTATGGTACTGCAGGAATGGATCAGGGAGCTCTTGCTGAACCTTCACCTTCCTGCTTCTCAATACACATTTTCAGTTAAGACCAGAAAAACAACCAAACACACAGAGATTCCCAGTCTCCATATTGAGTTAGTACAATGGTAGGAAACAAGTAATGAGTAAAGAAAAGAGCAGGCAGCTTAAAAATCCTGTGAAGCCATCATATACATTGAGCAGCTAACACTGCAATGGCACTGGGAGCCTGCTTTTAGCTATTTTATTGGCTAAATTGGACAGCATTTTATTACCCCTACAATAAAGCAGATAATCCTAATGCGTTTTCCTGACATTTGTAAACAGAACTTGTAAGCAGTCAGAAACTAAAAATAGAGCCAGCACAGTAAGCCACAACTCTACTGCTGCCTCCACCTGCGCGGCAACATCAATTTGTGAAGGCTGCCAACCAATAGGTCAGATTCTGCTGTAACTCCTTCACCCCTTCTGAAGTGGCTCAAATAAAGAAAAACATCCAATTTCCCACACGTTCTACCCTCAACAGAATAAAGGATTTATTCATTTCCATGTGCCTCAGAAAAGTCATATCACCAGGACCCTAATTCTGATTCCATCCCAATTTGACTCTTCAGCAATCTAGTCTCTCACCAGTGTTTGCCAGGTTAATTCACCTAATTTTTTTTTTTCCCCTGGAGAGCCAGGACCCCTCAGTGACTCTGGGCTTTTCACTTCCTTCTCTACACCGGGAGAGGACCCTGGTACCTTTTTGAATGTACCACAACAGAAACTTAGGAGGCCAGAAATAGGACAAGAAATTAATTCCACCTCCAATTCTCCCGAACAGGAATGTTTGGCATGAGCCTAGCTGTAAACATGAGAGATGGTACATATAAAACAGCTCCTCAAAAAAATAATTTTAAAAATCTCCCCTTACCTATTCAGAGAGGGGAAAACTATTTTTAGGAATCTTGTCTTGATGGGACAATCAATCCATCATGTTTATTTTTTAAATTAGTCTTTTTGAAAGTCACACTTGGATGTCAGCACACAAAATATCATGGCTTCAAAACACACGACCTACACTTAGCAGAAATCAGGTAAGCAACTTGAACATCACTGGAAGTATCATATTTATTATATATATATATTACCATGCATATCTTGCAGATTGGACAGAGTTAAGCAAGAGGAACTGTAAGCTGTGCTGAATCAGAAGTTAAACTGAAATACAGTCTGGTTTCATTGCCCAGTGTTGGTAAAGCATCAAAACCCAATGTTACAATAAATTTTTCAAAATAAATCCATTCCCAGCAAAGAAAACCAAATGAGTAATATCTTTTAAAAATCCCTTACAATTGAAAGAAAAGAAAGGGCATGACTCTGGTATCGTTAATACTTGTAAAAAAGCTGCTGATGTGGACCAAGAGGTACATATTTCCCCAGGCACCTTCTCTTCTCAAAATTCGAATACAGCAAAATTTAAGGACTTTTATGCACATGCCCAAAATTTCTGCAATCAGCACAGTAGCTACAAATGGCTGCTAAACATCCAATACCTCGGGCACAAGTCTGCTAAACATCTGATGTACCTGGGCAGAGCCAGTGCTATCCATCAGTGTCACGCTCCTACCCCTACACGTCCATCCTGAAGTCACTGGCAGAACTGTGCCAACCCCATTATGACAGAGTTCTAAAGAAGCCCCTAAGACTGTCCATTGTTCCACCTGCCTGAAAGGTGTTATAGTGACTCTGTGCATTATTATGTTATCATCTCTGACTCCAGGATTTTCTATCTTAAATAAATTATTTTTTGCTTCCATTTCAGAATTCTTTTTAAAT